TCAAATCAATCAAATAAAAGATATTTTCCCAAGTATAGTATATTTTTTTAATTAATTAAAGCAAAATAAGACAATACCTCTTTTGTCTTATAGCCAAATGCATTCTTAATTACGATGAATATGGAAATGAAAATAATTATATTCTAAAAGAGTATCTTTAGTTGTAAAATAAAAAAGTGGTATTTAAGATTAAGTAAAAAATTGTAGTTAAGTAAACCGTGATTAGTGGGATAAACATCTGTTGGCGCTGGCACCAGTCACCGAGTCAATTCACCAACTCTACGCTTTACCGGTGCGATTCACTTTATTCATCCATTCTCTCTAACCCTAAACGCTCTCCGCATTAGGTTTTCTCTTCTTCATATCCAATTTCGATGGCGGCGGCGTCGCGGCGGCTGCGGGACCTCCAATCACAGACGGCGAACAAGATCTGCGTTGACTGCACCCAGAAGAACCCGCAGTGGGCCTCCGTCTCGTACGGCGTCTTCATGTGTTTGGAGTGCTCCGGCAAGCACCGTGGCTTGGGCGTTCACATCTCCTTCGTCCGATCTGTCACCATGGACTCCTGGTCCGAAGTCCAGATCAAGAAAATGGAAGCTGGCGGCAACGATAAGCTCAACGCCTTCCTCGCTCAGTACTCCATCCCCAAGGAGACAGACATCGTTACTAAATACAACACCAACGCCGCCGCCGTCTACCGCGATCGGATCCAGGCCATCGCCGACGGTCGTCCCTGGCGCGATCCGCCGGTAGTGAAGGAAAACCTCGTAGCAGGCAAGGGGAAGCCGCCGCTGACGCAGACGCGAAGAGCTAATGAGGGGGGATGGGACGATTGGGACAACGGGGGGAGTTCGGCGGACATCCGGAGCAGGTCAACTGGGGACTTCAGGAGCTTGAACGGCGCGGGTGTGCCGGCGAGGTCTAGGTCGACGGAGGACATCACGCGGTCGCAGCTTGAGGCCTCGGCGGCGAACAAGGAAAGCTTCTTCGCGAGGAAGATGGCGGAGAACGATTCGCGGCCTGAGGGGCTTCCGCCGTCGCAGGGAGGGAAGTACGTAGGGTTCGGGTCCAGTCCGCCGCCTCAGCGGAGGAACGATGCTCAAAACGATTATTTATCTGTCGTTTCGCAGGTGAATTGAATTGATTTAACTCCCCGGTTTTAGTTTGTTTTGAGAAATTGGTTCATGTTATTTAATGAGGTAGTATTTAATTGTAGGGTATTGGGAAATTATCTTTGGTTGCTGCCTCTGCTGCTCAGTCTGCGGCTAATGTTGTTCAGGCGGGCACGAAGGAGATCACTTCAAAGGTATTCTGCTTCGTCTCTCTGCATTGCATTGTATGATTCTTGCCAATGAAGATTTTTTTTTTCTATCACGAAGTGAATGTTCTAAATTACGGTTGCAGTTTGGTCGCCTATACCATGCAACCCTTGATATTGCCGGAAATTGTGGCAAATGCTGCCACAATAATGGTCTCAGAAACTCTAAAACCCGACCAACAAATATGTTTGTTTATTTGGAACTTATGTTGAAGATGATCCAACCATGCATTGCTTCGATGTGTTACTTCTTCCGAAGTTAAACGTAGTTTATTTTAAACAAAAGGCACCCCTTTTATCCTCTTGACCTGTACGAATAACTAAACAAAGAACTGAGACATAAATGATTGTCTTTTCTGTGTGTATATAGTTGGTATTGTTCTTATTAATTGAAAAGTTCATCTTGGTGTATGAGCAGCATGAATAATAAAATATTTTTCATGTAATTTTGGTGCTTTCAATTTGGCCTCGTTTCTGAGGATTGCAAATAATAATTGGGCGGCTGAGATTGCCAAATGATGTTGATAGTGTTATATGAGATGGATGAAAACTGGTAAATGTCCAAAATGATTTTAAAATAGATATTCATGCACGTTTGTGGAATTACTAAATTCTCCCTTCATGTTGTCATGTTCATCATGGCATTATGATGATCTATCCTCTCGCCCCAGTTGAAAGGATATTATTTCCTTGGGGCATATAAATATGATTCAAGTACGGACAGTAAATTTTGTATTCCAGTCACATAAGTGTCTTAAACTATGATCATACTCGTCAAAAGGCAGCCCACATTTTTTTGTATTAGTTATTGGGATGTAACTGCTCAAGACATCATTTTGCTACCTTATATGGAAATTATTGGCAATAGGCTACATATGACGTGTCATACTCAGAAGCTTAATTTCACTTGGCAAGTTTTGTGCCTCAGTTGATTGCTAGCATATCTGACTGTCACTTGTTCACAACTGCGTTCTTGAGGATGTGGGCTATCATTTTTCCTACTTTCTAACAAAAAAATGTTCCAACAACAATTTGTGGATTAGGTTAATTTATGCATGTCTCTTTTTCAGTTCCCAATCAATTTCATTAGTATCTATTCTACTCAATTTTTAACCAAATGGGCACATGGAACCATGATTGTGGGTCCATTTACTGTTTGAAATGTTTGTCGGTTTTTTATTGAGTATCAGATTTGTTATATTATATGTGGATGTGTAAGTTTTTGGAAATAATAGACGGACAATTGAATTGCATTGCTGTTTCGAGAAACTTTAAATCACTAATGTAAATGCATACAGCTCTGTAAAGAAATTTCTTGAACTCCTATTTTAGGGCTCATGATCATTCATCTATTGGTTCTGTTCGGCCAAGGAAATGTGCACATTCCTATCAGCTCATTTTATAGTTTCTTTACCTGTATGAAAATGTGTAAACTATTAAATAAAAGGTCAATGTTTCTTGCTTTAGATACAACCATGCAAGATTTTTTTTCCATTTTTTTTAGCCCCAATAAGTCTTTATACTATTTGTTTCAGGTCAAGGAAGGTGGTTATGATCACAAGGTTAATGAAACTGTCACTGTTGTCACTCAGAAGACATCAGAGATTGGACAGAGGACTTGGGGCATAATGAAAGGAGTTATGGCCATTGCCTCCCAGAAGATCGAGGAGTACACTAAAGATGATACAAACTGGAAGACTGATAACTGGCAACGAAATGAGAGTGATAGAAATGGTTATTATCAGGATTTTAACCAACAGAACAAAGGCTCGAATTCTGCTCCTGGAAGAGAACAATCTTCATCAGGGCAATATAAAACTTATAGCTCAAGCTCTTTGGATGATTGGGATCACCAAGGTAGCAGGAAGCAAGAACCAGCTAAAGGATCAACTCCCTATTCATCAGGTGGGCAGTCTAGCACCTACAACTCAAGCTCTTGGGATGATTGGGAACAAACAGATTCTAGGAAGCAAGAACCAGCTAAAGGATCAGCTCCTCATAATAATGATGATTGGGCTGGCTGGGATAATGCCAAAGATGATGGATTTGATAGTTTGTACCAAGGTGCGTCTAATAAGAAAGGTCTTGGTCATAATGGAAAATCAGATGGCACTTGGACAGAGGGAGGCTTTCTCTAAGGTCCGTACATTAGGCTTCATTATATCTCTCAGTAGACATGGGAAATTTTCACTCTCTTTTTTCATGGCTTATATTTACCTAGAAATTTGTTGACTTAATCCTAACCTTTTTCTCAAACTGATTCTTAATACCCCTTACAATTGTCTGTGAACGATTCTTGAGTACTTGAGATTTTTATGAATTGCTCAGATTCTACCATCTCCTCATTTGGTTGTTGAACAATCGTCCCTCTTAACCCAGATTTGTACTGAACTTCGTAATTCTAACGAATGCTACTTGTTTATGTGAATTGTGGAAAGGAGGGGACACACTTAGCATGCTTACATTGAAATTATAATTAGCAGTTTTATCGTGTTTTTATTATTGTTTTAATTTTACGTTTATTTACCACCGATTTAAAGTATATAATTTGAAACAGATTATAATTTGGTATCCTTCTTGACCAGGGTTAATTGGACTTGTACCAGTTTCATGATTGTTCCTTCCTTGACGAGAGATTGTAGTTTCTTATTGGTCGCAGGCACCGGCCAAACTGGGGTGCCGCGCAATGAAGGTTATTATATTTTTAGCAACTCTATTTTCCCCTTTCTTTCTCGTACCCTTCCCCCCTTTGTAATTTTTTCATATATCATTTTTGGGAGACTAAGTTGTAGATTTAGATCCAAAAGAAACGCTACTCGCCTAAGTGGTCAATTCGTAAGACACTGTTACTTGCGAGTGGTGATTAAACTGATTGTGACCCAGGAAATTTCAGAATGTTTTTGATTTTATAAGCCTCTTAATTTTTCACTAATAATTTTATTTCCTCCATTTAATGCCCTTCCCTCGCCTGTTTTTATTATCCAATGATGAATTAAGGTTATTCTTTGGTTTTCACTTTTGCTCTTTAACCTCAATTTTTGTTTATCAGAACAGTATTTGGTGGAAGGGATTCATCATTATTTATGCAATGGTAAAAACAAATTGGTAATCATAACAATAACTTGTGTTAAAGCATTTTTTTTATCTTTTACATACGATTGAGAAAAATAAAAACATTTTATTTTTAATTTGGTTTTCAAAGGAAATTAAAAGGATACAAAGGAACGAAGAATATATCAATTACAGTTGATTTTAGTATATAGTTATGAATTATTTTTTAATAATTGAACTCATTTTCTCTTATAAATGGAAACAAAGGTCCACGTCTTTATTACGTCATTAAAATATGGAGGAACTTTCTTCGATGTCATTTAGACACTTCTATCCTTTATTAGATAAAAAATATTTTTATTTACTAACTATTAATTAAACAAATTTTTTATTGCAAAATAATAAATTTTTAAAAATAAAACTTACATAATTTTTACAAAGTTATATATATTTTTTATATTGGTATTATTGTATTATTTTATAATTTTGATATTAAAATTATATACAATTTTAAAAGTGTATACATCTTTAAAATAAGATTGATTTAATATAGTAAAAATGTAAATACTCTGTTTTTCAGTAACAAGAATATTTGCATTTTTTTTAAAGTAGTTTTTACATCAAACAGATGTTTGAAGTTTACGTTTCAACAAATAGTGTTTGATGTTAAGAGTTTAAAGAATCTCTCTTAAAACTGATATTTTAAAATATGAGAATTGGTTATTTTAATATTAAAAATTTAAAATACAAATAGAATTTATATAATGAGTATATTATTATTTAAAATCATAT